TGCTTTAGTAAAACATACACATGCAGTATGGTTATGAAGCTGGATGAATGCTCATTGGTCAGTTCAAGACTTCAAGATATTCATAATTAATTATGTGTGTTTTGATTAAAATTTTAAAGTTGGCCCACCTCAACTTGTCAGGCTATGGATAGAGGGATATATTGCCACCCCTTTCCCGGAGGACCAGTAGTTAGCCACTTTTTGATGTAGCTGTCAACCAAATCTAGAGCTTCTCATTTCTCTTTTTGTATGTTTTCTAAAAGAACGTAACTTGTATGGCACAATTTTGATGCCACTTGTAAGTTTTAAAGCCACATGATTTGACAATTAGTCAAAGGTCCATGGTGTTTGGACTGGCACACTAGGGCAGGAAACTGAGAGAGAATGGGAGGGTCCGGCAGGAAAAGGGAAGTTTGGGCCGTGGTGTTTTTTTTGTTGGGCCAATGTTCCGGAGATAACATGACGGATAATCCGGATAACCATATTTCTCCCCCACATATGGTCCCAATTTGGGGGAGTTTGGACTGTCCAAACGGTTGAATTTTGTGGACCATAGTGAGTGCACCTTTGATGTCCGAACATGCTTGGACGTACGAGGAAGAAATGAGGTTCGACCTTGGAGATGACCTTAGGCATTTGTTTGATTTATTTATATGCATTGTAGCCCGTAGCAACGCACGGACATCCTACTAGTGTACGTATAGCGTTGTTCCAATGACACCAGCACGGGTCTCGATTTCGAGCCACAGCATGCGCTTCTCTTTGTTTTTTAACGAAAAACCAAAAGCGGGCCGGCCCAGCAGGGTGTAGTGCCCTTTGCATATTTTTATTTCTAAAAAAAAACTAAAACGGGCCGGCCCAGCGGGGAGCAGCGGTGTGCGCACCAGCGCCCTCAGCGGAATCTCACCAATCCCGGTCATCTTTGCCTAAAAAAACCAATCCCGGTCATCCAAACGACTTGAAGGTTCGATTTAGACCGGGATTGCATAGTTTAGGGTGCAATCAACCGGGATTTCGACTTCAGGGTTCGTTTCGCCGAACGTCTACAAGTTTAAGGTTTAAAATGGACTTTTTCCTCCTGCAGAGGTATTTATTGCACGGCAGTGACAACGGCTAGCTGCACCAGGCGGCAGCGAGACGCACGTTGATCACACTGCTAGGCACAACGGCTAGCGGGACGACGCTCCTCCGTGTCTTTTTAAACTCCCATGCTTCCTTGCTTCAGACGGTCATTCAAAATTGCTCATCTTCTCCATTCCTCCCAGCTCCCCTGGTCTGCCTAACTATGTGTTCATCCATGTCCCGTAGTAGTTCAACACCACCTCCATCTCAGCACACCAGGAATCACATGCCTCCACTAGGGTGTGCCTTATTTTTTTTCTTATGTTCTACTTGTTGCTAGCCGAACTGCATGTATCTTCCAGTACGTTTACCTTGCTCACGCAGCTGGTCTATCAATAATCTATCTACATACCGTTTGAGAGCGGACGCCATAATCGCAATTAGCCTGTCCCTAATGAAAACAGGTGGAAACACGTTCATGCACTGAACGGTTCCCATCAAACAGCAAGGAGCGGCATAAATTGACTGTGCCTTCCAAAGGAGGTAACTGCCCACTCGCCGCACGCCGTTCACTTGCATGCATCAATAAGAGAAGGTACTGCGCATCATCAATACGCCCACTAACTCTGCGCCGAATAACTTCACCCAGAATGAATTGATTACTTTAATTAACACGGGTGGTCCAGCGGGCTGAATCGCTAGCGGACAAGGCTCTATTACTACGATCATAAATGCTTACTGGCCCATGAGCCCGGTGGTATAAATAGAGTATTCTCGTTTTCGAAATAATTAACACTGAGTATTTGGGCGTGGAGCGCGACATGCTATATTACCTGGCGATCGCAACGCAGAATAGACACACGCGATAACGGCAGCGCGTGGCCGCATGTCCTCAAAATTCGCGTCCAGTATAATAGCTCTATATACATCGGATTGAATGCACGCAGAACACCAATGTTATGAACAATGAGGTTGTACGTTCCGATGTGCCAACAATTGGAAAGGAATCACATTGAGATGACTGGAGCAAAGGTGTACCCGACCTTGTCGACCCTGAAGTGCTAGACCGAGAAGAGCGTGAACAAAATCGCCACCGAGACTCGATCCTGAAGTGCTACCCTGCATGTCGCTCTTGTTGGATGTATAACTTGAAAATTAATCACACATGGAGGAATTTGAAGCAGTTCCACTTAGGTACTACTCCTAGATGTTAGGTGCATCCAAGTTGGCAAGTTCAGTACTCTCAACGTGCGGGTGTATAGGCGTGTGCGTACTTCTAGGTCATCGATTTTGATAAATTAGAGACTGTATGTGTTATAGTATGTCACTAAAAGCATATAGTTGGATTCATATACGAATGTACTAAACATATAGTACTATGTTCGTCACATATAATGCATATTCACCTAGTTAAATTATCAAGGTAGAACTAGGTTTACGTACGCCTCATGCATCCGGACGGAGGCAGGCGAAGTTTGGCGGCGCCATCGAAGAAGAGGCTATGGATCCATGAGGAGGGGGAGAGGGGTTAAGGTATCTAGAGGAAGAATAAGTCGGATCAAAGGAGGAGGAAGAAGATCAACAACCATTGGACTTCAATCCAATGGTTGGGAAAGAGAGACGGGAAATCACGCGCCTAACCAATAGGTATTTCCTTACTAGACTTGTCAGCTCGGGCGCAGTTAACAAGGCCATTTCCTCCCTAAAAAAAGGCCATTTCCAACGGGAAGGGGAGGTTGTTCCTAAGCGAAACATGTCCAAGTTTCTCAAGCACGGTCAATTATCAAGTTATGGCCCTGACATATTCTCTAGGCAATTATGAGAAGCCAAAAAATCTCACTTTAGGTTAATTTTTTTACAAAGAAAATATTGCCGCATTTTATTCAAACATTTCTTGGCCTGTTCCGCTAGCACCAACTATTGAATTCATCCCGGAGGCAAACAAAGCCAATTCTTACAAAGTCTGTCCATGCAACCTTTCGCTACTAGATGTGCCACACCATTTGTCGTGTGCATCACACCCACACCGCGCGATGTTCTTCTGTGGGTCGCAGAAGATCCTTCATGTGTAGCCTTCCCTAGTTAGTAGATTTGGTGGCTGACATGGCAATGGCAATAAGATAAGATAAAAGGTATTGGGCGGGAGACTTTTCTCATCAATTTTCTCTTCTTGATGAACTCATCAATCACTTGTTTTTTGATTGATTGCGGCTACATATATGTGGGGTGTGGTCAGTGTGGCGATTGGTGACAAGTCGGACATGGATATTTTTTTACTTTTTCTCAATATTTTCATTGAATTCCTAGATATGTTCCAATCGATGCTAATCTGCGGATTACTGGAGTAACAACCGATGTTTCCTTTAAAATTGTTATGTTAATACACGTATTGTCAAAAAATCTGGCTGGACTTCACTTGTCAAAAGGGTCAAGGTAGAGCCTTGAGGCCAATGTGCAACTCATGGTTATTTTCTATTGTGTGAGCTTCAAATGATGAGCTCCTTCACCATGAGATGCATGATGTCGAAAGGAAACCTTTTTAATAATTTAGTGGGGCATTCTAGCAAGTATTGGAGTTGGGAGGGTAATTTCATCGTTGTGGTTAGTTGAGGGTTGTGAAGTGGATTTGTTTCTTTTAGTTTTTCTTTGAGAAGCCCAATGCACTTTCACTCTATCTCTCTCCGCCCTCTCTCATCTATCCTCTAAAATTTCGGTGTTTGTTTTCTATGCATCAATCAAAGACACATATTGTGCGCACCTATCTTGTCTCTGCACATTCGGCTGTCATGTTTGATCCTCAATCTCACTCATGAACATCAATATCGGCATATGCTTATAACATTAGGATCTATTAGTAGCACATCGATGAAACATACATGTAGTTGTTAACATGTTGACAGTGCAGATAAGAGATAATAGTTTTGAACTTAGCACCACCTCGTATTATAGGAATATAAACATCTCAAAACCAAAATGACCATTACATAATTTAACAAATGTTGGGCCGGTAATAATATTATATCTAAAGGCCTTCTAGATATTTATAAAGTATAATAGCTCTATATACATCGGATTGAATGCACACAGAACACCAATGTTATGAACAATGAGGTTGGACGTCCCGATGTGCCAACAATTGGAAAGGAATCACATTAAGATGACTGGAGCAAAGGTGTACCCGACCTTGTCGACCCTGAAGTGCTAGACCGAGAAGAGCATGAACAAAATCGCCACCGAGACTCGATCCTGAAGTGCTACCCTGCATGTCGCTCTTGTTGGATGTATAACTTGAAAATTAATCACACATGGAGGAATTTGAAGCAGTTCCACTTAGACTTAGGTACTACTCCTACATGTGTACTTCTAGGTCATCGATTTTGATAAATTAAAGACCGTATGTGCTATAGTATGTTACTACAAGCATATAGAGGGAGTACTATTTTCGTCACATATAATGCATATTCACCTAAGTTAAATTATCAAGGTAGAACATATACTATCCGCCGTTAAGCATCCAAGCAAATAGAGTGTTTCTGTAATAATGCATATAGAGGGTGTACGCCTCATGCATCCGGACGGAGGCAGGCGAATCTCACGAGTTGAAACATATCGCAGCAGTAGTAGGATTCTATTTCTCACAAGCTAGCGCTGCACTCTGGCAGTAGAATATGTCCGGCCATATAACTTGTAAACGAATCGTACGTACATGGAACGACGACATGTTAAGTTGGCAAATGGCAAATTTAGTAAGCACGCGTGCAGAGGCAGGCGGATCTTACAAGTTGACACATATAGATATAGCAGCACTTTGGCGCCACATTCAAAAAGGAAGAGCTTTATATACAGCCCCGTCGCCGGACGGCAATGGCAGCTCGATCGGCCAATCTCTACGATATACAAAGATGGGCGCCGCCGCGGTGGTGACCAAGTTGTCGCCCATGCTCGTCGTCGGCCCGCCCGGCGGGGACGACGCCGTCGTCCACCTCACCTCCTCCTTCGACAGGACCGCCGTCCCTTTTGGGGTCACGGCGCTGCTCCTCTTCGACCGGCCGATCCCCGAGCCGGCGGAGACCATCAGGGCGGCACTCTCAGAGGCGCTCGCGCACTACCGGCCCGTCGCCGGCCGCCTCGCAGCCGAGGGCGACGGCGACGGCGAGCTCCTGCGCATCGAGGGTGCGGCAGGTGTGCTGTTCGTCGCCGCGTCTGCGGGCTACGCGCTGGCTGACATGACGACGCCGCTGCTCGCCGGCCTCGTCGCGCGGTACCCTAGCGGGGTCTGCCGCCACGCCGACCCGCTGCTGCTGTTGCAGGTCACCGAGTTCGCCTGCGGGGGGTTCGCCGTCACGGCGACGTGGAACCACGTGCTGACCGATGGAGAGGGCATGGCGCAGGTCCTCGGTGCCGTCGGCGAGCTCGCGCGTGGGGCGTCGCCGGCGCCGTCCGTCGTGCCGCTCCGCGCCGACGACGGCTCGCTCCCGCGCCTCCCGCATTCGATGGTGGCCGCGCAGAAGCGGGCGCTCAGCTGTGTGTTCAGCAGGGACTTGGCGCTCCTCGACGTCACCGTCCCCGCCGGCCTGATCGGCCGCGTCAGAGCCGAGTTCGACGCGGCCGGGCTCGGCGACCCGTGCACGGTGTTCGAGGCCGTCGCAGCTGTGCTGTGGCAGTGCCGGATCCGCGCGGCCGTCGTCTCGGCCTCCGACGAGGCCCCCGTGGCACTGTCGTTCTCGGCCAACGTGCGCCGGCTTGTGGGCGCCAGGCCCGGGTACTACGGCAACTGCATGGTGGTGCAGTCGATGACGGCGACGCGCGGCGCGGTGGCGCACGGCACCGCCGCGGACGTGGCGAGGATGATCCGGCGCGCGAAGGAGAGGGTGCCCGACCTGCTCGCTCCCGGCGCCGGAGCGGGCACCACAACGGAGCACGGGGTGGCGGTACTGTACGACACGCTGGTGGTGTCGAGCTGGAGGAACCTAGGGTTCGAGGCGGTGGATTTCGGGGGCGGGAGGCCGGCGCGGGTGACGTGGCAAGTGGAGGAGACGGTGGTGCCGTGCTGCGTCGTGTGCCCGCCGGGCAAGGGCGGCGACCAGGACGGGGTCAGCGTCATGTCGGCCTGCGTCAGGCCGGAGCACGCCGACGCCTTCCTGGCAGAGCTCACCGCATTAACAGACCTATAAAATCGTCCATGTAAACTTGCGACAGTGGGGGAGTTCCATGGAACTCGCCGTCCATTCAGTGATTGTTTTACAAGAGCAGAACAGTTTTGCTAGAACTCATCTAGATGAGATATAATTTAGTCTCATCCATCTTTTATAACCATTGGATGTGATGCTATAAGATGCGTGTGTGCTGACGTGGATTGTATCTGTTCTTGTTTTCAAAGTGAATGAGACCAAATTATGTCTCATCTAGATGAGTTCTAGGTACTCCCAAAGCAGAAACTCTGCGTCCAGGTATGATCCAATTCAAGTATGAAAAGAAGTTTTTTTTTTAACTTACGTATGAGAAGAAGTTTTGCGACCTGTTTGTCAGACCCTGTTACGTTTGGATTTTTAATAAGATGACCGCATGCATCGTTCTGGTGGCCACGGGTGATCATCCTTTTCCAAAAGAAAATGGTATGAGAAGATGTTGCAATAAGGGAAAATATTTTTAACGAATGGAATATATAGATGATACCAGTTCCATCCGGTCTTCGCAACACGATATCAACTGAGGATATACACAACCAAATTATTGAAAAAGAATAAGAAGGAACTATAAAGAAAATCGACGCAACCAACAATAAATTTATCATAAGGAATAGTGGCGTAAAACGGATGTATTTGATACTAGGAAGTGGAAAATAACAACCACTTTGACACTCACTGACTTTTCTTATTCATCGCCGTGATTGACAGTTTGAATCTACGGGAAGCCAACTGTAGGCCTGAGAGAGCAGTTCATTTTTTGGGACGGGTAGCCCGCATACGACTTCAGATTAAAATAATCTGAAAAAAGCGTTCGTCCCAACAAGACGAATAAATTTTGTATTTAACCTTTTTTCGTTAGAGGTCATCTTAAGGGTCGAATTGCTCACGCCTTACCCCAAACACATGTCATGTATTTGGAGTCAAGGGCCAAAATATTGGACATGGAAAGGCAGCATTGTTTTATCTCCAGAAGTTGCATAGTATCTTTGATGAAGATGAAGGAAAAAAAGCAAAGTTGTTTGCTTGACGACGCGATAAACATTCATGTTGAGATTTTTTTATGAGGTAATATCACCGGTAATCATAGAACTTGCGCTAGATGTTCAGTTTGGTGCTAAAACTTTAAAAATACGGATATGTGGTCATCTAACTTTTCATGTGGTGCAAATACGGTGCTTTCTACTATCTGGGCGTACACCTTGACTTGACAGCATGGCATGGCCCACATGTCAGCCTGAGAGTAGAATTTTTCAGACCACTCCCTAAATTAATTATGCAGAAAAGCCCAGGTGGGACCCACCTGTCAGTGCAAAGTATAAAGAGAAAAAAAAATTACATTACGCTGAAAAAGTGGCGTGTTTCGAATCCACGGCATTCTGCCCGCACGCTCACCTCTAGAACCACCACACCAACGCATATCAGCTGCTTAATCTTGATCTTTATCTTTTATATCCTTTGCTTAAAACACGCTGAGATAGGCTACGCTCAGTGTAGCCCATTTTGCACCATTTAAAAAAAATTATAGATAGTACGTCAATTATGATCTCAGTGTTAAAAATAGCGTTTAAATATTCATGTGTTATATATATATTGTAACTAACGAAATAACTTACTTTTAATTTGTTCAAGTATTATATTTCAAATATTTATGAATTCTAAAAAATATTTGTATAATTTTAAATAATGCAAAATTACAAATAAACAGTAATATTTTAATTATACAAACATTTAAATAATTACATGCACATTTTAATAGTTCAATGTTCGTATAATTAAAAAATATTCATATTTAAAATTTAAACCGTTGATAAGGATATTCTATCATGTCTAACATTTAAATTATATAATATTTTTTAAATATAAGTCGTGAGTAAAAAATTTATATCTGTATTAACTAAACATTTTTTGATACATTAAGCATATTTATTTAATGGACATTTCAAACATCCGTATATTTTTTTTATATAATACATAGGTTTATATTTAAATGTTTTATGTACTAATCAATGTTTATATGTATATTTTTAACACGCAAATATTTGAGCACAACTTTATTACCTATGTTTTACAGTTATGTTAAAGAAAATAGCGGTTACAAAAACGGGCTGCAGTATGTGGCTTGGTTCAATACAAATTGTTATCTAGGTAAGCCAGTAGATCGTCAGTGGTGTACTGGCTAGAGCTGCTCATTTATGTGCATTATAGGTGGTCGATCTTTTCCACAAAATTAAAAAAACAATATGAGCGGTTTTCATGCAAAAATTCGGCACAACGTCTGGCTTTTTTGAAACAAAAATAGTAGGGTGTTCTTTGCAAAAATGAATCACGCACTTACTACAAGTGGGCCGGTACACACATATGTGTCAGTGTACGCGTGTTGTGACTGTATATGCACACTTGAGTCAAGTTAAATGACCACAAATCTATATTTTCAAAGTTCTAGCACCAAACTGAACATTCAGCGCAAGTTGTATGACTCCCAATGATATTACCTCAGGAGGAAACTACGATACTGACATGTGTGGTACGAAGTCTTCCCAGATGGTCTTCATGTCTAGGTCTGACCGTTGTGGCACCGATTTTGTTCTCCTGCGCCTGGTGAAGCTTCGGGTTCTCCGTATAACTTGTAGGCTATCTATTAATTATGAACACATAAATATAATAATACAATATTATTGTCTAGGAGCCCTATGTAGGCGCCCTAGGGCTTTAAGCGCCTACAAGGGTGTTGGGGAACATAGTGATTTCAAAATTTTCCTACGATCACGCAAGATCTATCTAGGAGATGCATAACAACGAGAGGGGAGAGTGTGTCCACGCACCCTCGTAGACCGAAAACGGAAGCGTTTAGTAACGCGGTTGATGTAGTCGAACGTCTTCATGATCCAACCGATCCAAGTACTGACGTACGACACCTCCGCGTTCAGCACACGTTTAGCTCGATGACGTCCCTCATGCTCTTGATCTAGTTGAGGACGAGGGTGAGTTCTGTCAGCACGACGACGTGGCGATGGTGATGATGATGTTACCGGCGTAGGGCTTCGCCTAAGCACTACGACGATATGATCGAGGTGTGTAACTACTGAGGAGGGCACCGCACATGGCTAAGGCAAAACTTGGTGTGTCTTTGGGGTGCCCCTGCCCACGTATATAAAGGAGGGAGGGAGAGAGGCCAGCCCCCTAGGGGCGCTAAGAGTATGGAGTCCTACTAGGACTTTCAAGTCCTAGTAGGAATCCCTTTCCTTTTTCGAAGTAGGAGAGACGGAAAGAGGGAAAGAGAGAGGGAGTAGGAAAGGGCAAGGGGGGCGCCGCCCCCTTCCCCTAGTCCAATTCGAACCCATGGGGGAGGGGCACCTCCCCTTGGCCTGCCTCCTCCTTTCCCATATGGCCCAATAAGGCCCATTACTTCTCCCGGTGAATTCTCGTAACTCCACTAGTAGAAAACAGGGCTTTGGTTCAGGCCGGGCTAGCCCATTAGTACTAGTTCAGCCCAGAACCGGGACCCATGGGGGCATTGGTCCCGGTTCATGAGGCCTGGGGGCCTGCCGGACCTCGTGGGGGCATTGGTCCCGGTTCGTCTGCCCCCTTTGGTCCCGGTTGGTGGGACGAACCAGGACCAATGGGCCTCGCTCCTGGCCCACCACCATTGGTCCCGGTTGGTGGCTTGAACAAGGACCAAAGGGTGTCCTTTAGTCCCGGTTCCAGCCACAAACCTGGACCAATGATGTGCCTATATATACCCCCTCGCCGGCGAGCAGAGCACTCCACACTGCTCTGTCTTTTCTGTCCGGCAAGGGGAGGGCTTTGTGGTGCTATAGCTCACCTCCTATGCACATGAGGTGTTCGATGGAATGCCCGAGCCACACTACTTAAGCTTTTTCCTCTCCAAGCTCGACCTCCAAGCTCCATTTTCCTCAATATTTGTCGAGGTTTAGCGGTCCGTCACGACCCGTCCCCGTCTTCACCACTGTCAATCGCCCGCGCCAATCTCGTCGGCGGCACCACCATGGTGAGCCTCTTGTTCTTATCTTCTTTCTGAAAGGAAAAAAAATTCTTACTTGTATGTTTAGATAGATACTTGTATAATTTTCTTACTTTTATTATTGCTTCTTACTATATAGTGCGATGGTTTTGGTATCCGCCCCCATCGGCCCTCGTCATGTCTATGATTCGGATGTGGTATATATTATCTTTTATAATTATTTGGTTCATTTATTGTTTATGACAATTATGCCGACCAATGTGACATAGATTTTATTTATCTAGGAGATATGTGAACCGGAAATTCCAACCGACTCTATTGTCGAGAGGTTAAATTTAGTTGAAGAAGAAAACAATTACTTGAAGGAAAAAATAAAAAAAATTGAGGAGGAGAAGATGATATTGGAGTTTCATGTTGTGGATGTCGTCGATGATCACAAGATCAAGATGGATGCAATGCGATTGAAGATTATAAAGATTAGAAAATATGCCATTCATACCGAGGCTTGGTATCATTATGCCGTTGGATCAATTATTACCTTGGTTGCAATTATGATCACATTTGTTGTTGCATTGAAATGTTTTACATAGTTTCAATGTATGGTTTAATTAGATACTCTGGAGAGCTATATGTTGTTCAATGAGAACTATGTATGTACTTTGATTTTAATGTGATGATGAACTTCTATTAATTTGGTCACTTATCTATTCATGATGTTCTGTAATGGTTTTTGACACACTTAATTATATATAATGCACACAGATGAACCGGCAATGGATGTACGGTGACAGACACATCTCCGAGTACATTAAGGGCGTGCATAATTTTCTCGAAGTGGCTGATACGTCTCCGCTGTATCTATAATTTTTGATTGTTCCATGTCAATATTATTCAACTTTCATATAATGTTGGCAACTTTTTATACTATTTTTGGGACTAACATATTGATCCAGTGCCCAGTGCCAGTTCCTGTTTGTTGCATGTTTTATGTTTCGCAGAAACC